ATTATCTTCTCTGCCTTAATTTATGTACTAATCTGTACAAATTTGTACTTAAATTTCTATTGCAATATTTTTCATAATTATCAATGAAACAGAAAGAGATTTTGATAATATTAATCTGTGTGAAACAGGGGGATATTTTTTATGAATTAAAATTTGTATGAAATTCATTCCTAATTCTGAATTAAACAGGTGGAGTTAAGAGAAGTTTTTTTCAGATGAGTTAGGGGGAGCTTTGTTATTAACATATCTAGGGGGAGTTTAAATATATTGTGCAAATTTGTGCTAATCTTGAGTTGACTATATAGAGTCAATCATTTTAATTCGTTTCAGGTGTTTCCTTGATCATCATCAAAAAGGGGGAGATTGATGGCAATGTGTAACATGTTCCTACATTCCCAAGAGATGATTTTGATGATGATTCAAGTCAACAACGTTCAAGACTCAAGCAAGCCCAAAATATGTTTTGATAAAGATTCTATTCAACATTCAAGCAAACCCAAGATGATTCCTGAAGACTAGATAGAGTCTTAGAATACTAGATATGGAGGTACAAGTTGATGAAGTAATATTATGCATAAGCCTCCAAAGCACAAGTGTGATAAAATTTCGTAACATAATATTTTTTACTGTCATAATCAATTATGATGCATCAGAAATGGAAAAACAATTTTCTCTCTGTCATAATTGATTATACTGGTAACATAATCGATTATGACAGTTCAAATTTGAAAAATATATCTGTTTTGAAGAATAAATGTTTTTTAATACATCCTGATTTTTCTCTATGAAATTATTAATGACCAACGACTATTTTTTTATGCTATTTTTCTATTTAATTAAGTTTTGATGAAAAAAAACACAATTACAAAATTCGAAAATACAATTTACATTCATTCAGTTTTGAGAAAAGAATTATGAGCAAGACAACATATATATTTTACATGTTTTGAGAAAACCCTCTCCTCCATTGCCATAGAGATATTTTCCCAAAACCCTCTTCTCCATTGCTTATTATACTTTCATTGTTAATCACACTTGTTCTTAGAGGTTGGCATTTTGCAGGGTTCTGCAATTTGTTGTCTCCATTACCCAGGTGTGACTGTTCTTATTTTATTACCTTCATCCTTTGTGGGCTTAACTGGTTAATTGTTAAATTCCCTATTTAGGGTTTAAGTAGTCACTGTCATTCTGTTGTGTTTTTTTGGGTTTCATGTGTGTAAATTGTTCATCCCTTTGATTTGTTCAGGGAGGTGTTTTCATCCTTTGATTTGTTCAGAGCAGGTGTTCATCCCTAGTGGGGTTCTAGGGAGGTGTTCATCCTTAGTGGGATTCTAAGGAGGTGTGTTCATCCTTTGATTTATTCAAAGGAGGTGTTCATCCCTAGTGAGATTCTAGGGAGGTGTTCATCCTTAGTAGGTTTCTAAGGAGGTGATTATCTTTTGAAATAGTTGGTTTTTGCTGAGTTGATTGTAATTTGTGAACTGAATTTAAAAGATAGTGAATTGGGTCACTCTTGTGTTAAGAGTTGACTGGGAACTAGATGTAGGGTTAGTTATACCTGAACCAGTATAAATTACTGTGTGTTCTTCTCTTTCCCTTATCTCTTTTTCTCTGCATTACTCTCCTTACGCCCCTTATTTCTATCTCTATCTTTCTCTATCTTGGTGATATTTTATCTCTCTGATTATATCGCTTCTGCTTTATCTTTGTTCAATTTGATAATTAAAATTGAATTAATAAATATTGGACATATTAAAATAAATTTTTAATTTAATATCTATGTTAATTTGTGCATCTATTCACCCCCGCTCTAGATGTCATTTGTCTAACAAATTCTACTCGATTATAGTTTTAAATAGAGTAAATTTTTCTTTTCCTAATTTTAAACTATTTTGCATGTTTTAGGTTTAGGTCTGCATGTGAGTCCTAAGGGGCTTGTATGTAGACTTTGTTGTGAGAAGATGAATCTTAACTAGTTTATGAAAATTGTGATATACTTTTTTGTTTATTTGATTTTTTTGTGAGTAGAATCTATGTTTTTGAAAATTTAGGAGTTTTTGGAATTCATTAACTTAGAGTCATGTATTGAGGTAAGAGAAGTTAGTTATTTTTCAATTTTCATAGTACTTTAGGCTAAAAGATCTGGATTTTGAAAGTGACTTGAGCACATTGTTTAAGTTTTAGGATTTGAGATCTGTAATTATTATTGTATTAAATGTGAATGTGTAATTGATTTATATGAGATTGAAAAAGATAATCTTTTGTATGAATGTATTACTCTTTGATTTGGAACATTAGAAACAAGGTTTTGAGTCGATTATGTAGTTTGCTACTATCACGAATCCGCCCAGCGAATTTAAGACAATGTTGAAAGTGTTTGAAATTCGCTTAGCATTTTCAGATTTGCCTAGCGAAATTTGGACAATGTTGGAGGTTTCATTCTATCAAAATTTAGCTCAGTGCATCCAAATTTGCTCAATAGTTTTTGAAAAATCATAAAAAATAGCTCCAAACTCCAAATTTGATGTTCTATATATGAAAATCAAAGCCTTGGAAATGAGGAATTCAATCAAATAAAAATTAATTAAAAGGGATGTCTATAGAAAAAGTTATAATCAAAATAATGCGTAGATGTTAAATTGGAAAAAAAATTATGTTTTGTTATAATGTGAGAAATGATGTGTATGTGCCTTAAGTTATTAAAATACATATCATGAACATGAAATAAGGTGTGTTGAATGTTATTATATGTCTTGAAAAATGTTGTGTTGTAATATGAGAATTATCAAGGGATATTATCGTGTGTACAGTGTTGTACGTATAGATATTGATTTGGGACTCAAGAAGATAACCTAACTCTATTTATCACTGGAATCACATAGATGAAAGGATCAGGTGGTGTGAAAAAGAACTATCTTGATAAATTACTTAGAAATTTACCCTGATCACACATAAGTGTATATATTAAATTGAACACCCTTGTGTTATGCACATGGGAGAATTGTGATGTGACAGGTACAAATCTCTAATGTCTATTTTAATATTTAGTTTTTCAGAAGTCGTCTAGTATTAGTGTGACGTAAATGTGAGTCTGTATGGACGTATGATAAGATATATGAAAAAATTGAAGTTGAGTTATGTTGTTTTGTCTCACTTTTGAATCTTGCATACTCAAATTTAATTACTAGTTTACCTATTTTGTATGTGTTTTTAATTGTGATGATCATGTGTTTACACAAGAGCAGATTTGACAGATGATAGACTTCAATAAAAGTAGATCTAAAACTAAGAGTAATATAGATTTATATTTTGTTCACTTTTGAAGTGATAAATATGTATGTATCTATTTTTTTACATAGAGGAAATTTATATTTTAAATTATTCTGTCCATCTCAATTTAATATATATATATATATATATATATATATATATATATATATATATATATTAGACTTTTACTTTAATATGTTTCCACTAGTTTTATATATAAAAGGATTTTCTTTTTAAGAATTACTTGATCAGTTCTTATAATATAATATTACTTTTTATCAAATATTGAAGAGAAAAAGAATGTCTTACATATAAAGAGTAAGAAAAAACATGGGATACGTCTAAAAGTGAAAAGAAAAAAATATTTTAAAAACTTAATAATAAATAAAATGTGAACATATAAAAGCTTATATGCTTTCACTAATTATATATAAAGATTTTTTTTCATCGCTTGTCTATATTATATATATAAAAGATGTTTTGTATAATATTTTAGGTATTATCGCATATAATATAATATTATTTTTCATCAAATATACCATTAGATAATATAGAAAAATAATTATTATGATTTATATATTTAACATATAATAAAAAGAAGATAGAAAAAAAATATAATACATGTAATGAATGAAGAAAGAACGTTGGTATATCTAAAAGGTGGAGGAAAAAAAACTAAAATAAAATTAAAAAAAAAAACAAATTATATATATATATATATATATATATATATATATATATATATAGAGAGAGAGAGAGAGAGAGAGAGAGAGAGACTTTAGTGCCTTTATTTCTACTAATAATAAATTATTATTTTTTTATCATATATACTATTATGTTTAAAAGAGATAGTTAATATGGGAAAATAATTATTATGATTTATAAATTTAAAAATAATAAAAAGAAGGGAGAAAAAATGTGACAAATGTAATGAGTGGAGAAAAAAAAGATGGTGTACATATAAAGAAAGAAAAAAGTAAAATTATAATAAAATATATTTTTTAAATTAATAATGTGTTTTCACTAATTTTAATAAATATAATATAGAAAAGCATGGCAAGAGTAAATTTAATAGAATAACAATTGAAACCCTTACAAATTGTAATGAAAGAAAAATAATAATTAAATTATAATTATTTAGATTATAACTAATTATATTATACCACAAATAAAATTGATATAAATAAATATAAAAGCAGTTATAAAATTAATTTCCATTGAAATATTTAAACAATATTATAAACTTAGGTGTATCATAAATAATTGATTAATGTTTAAATATAACTTTAATATTTATAAAATCTAAGATAACACCGTTTAAAATATTAGGATTAAAATAACTTTTCATCATAAAAAATTAAAATAGTCACTAATAATAACACCTCGGATTAAAATAATTATCATTTGAATATTTAAATATTAGTTAAAATGATCTCATACAACCTCTTTTTGAAGGCAAAACTAATAATTTTTAACAAACAAAATGTTAAGAGAACTTCATGTGGTGTGAACTTCACGTGAAATGGCAAGTTGGTGGTGCCATCCAATCACACTTTGGCACCTAGTGGCAGACACATATTAACCATTTTACTATATCATTCACCAACCTTTTGTAGTTAAGTAGGGTTGATACAAAGTCTAATGATTCCTGCTTCGTAGAACGTGGATTGATTATTACTATGAACAAGGACATGGAATAATAGGCTTTGGCCTCCAACAATGTCTCCTTATTAGAAATTTTCCTTGTGGAAATCATATCTGGTGGTTGTGTTGCGTGAGAAATCCGAAGCTAATTGACCAAGCTCTTTGGTTAGCGCTGGTGGCCCGCAGTAAAATACCCCTGCATTTAAACATGTTTTTGTTTGAGCCACACATAATAAACCAATGTTTTCTTATTTCAAAAACTTGACTTTATGTTTAGTTAAAACCAAACAAGCACAAGTACACATTACTTAGTATGTGACTAAGAAAAAGAAGTAGAGCAATGTTGGGTGAAGAGTGGGAAACTGACCAACACGAGCCCGTGGATGACTAACAGCAATGCGTTTGAAGACACTGCGCCAATTGGGTTTGGCAAAGTGGGACTTAACACGCGTGCCAGAGACTATGTCTACGCCATTCTTAGCATGGTTTAGAGATTGCAACATGGCAATAAGAGCAGAGCGAGCATCACCCTCTTCGTACACACTAGTGCAATAGTTGTGGAGTTCAATCACCCCCTTATGATCCTCTTCAGCCACCTCATTCATCACCCCTTTAAACCAATCAAAAGAACCTTGCTCCCTTGTCACCCAATAGAAGTAAGCCCTCCTAGTGTTAAACTTGCTTGAACCATTTCTTTTTTGTTGGCTTGTTCTTGGTGATTTTCCACCAAACCCACTTGCTCCTTCCTCTATGTTGCTCCCCTCTTCCTCTTCCAAGGCCCTCATGTTGTTCACTATGTCCTTCAGGATACTGATCATTGGGGTGGCTCCTATTCCTAGCCCCACCAGCAAAACCACCTCATATTGCTTGTAGTCTTGGGCTGGTGCTCCATATGGACCGTCAATTAGAACTTTAGGGAGAGCACTGCATGAGAAAATCAAAATTACTTGTTTTATTTTCTAAGTGTGTTCCTAAAGTTTTGAAGTATGAATTGGTGCCAAATAGTTTTCTTCAGGCCTATCCATCACAGTTTGTTAAATTTTGAGTGAAGTTATTTGCATAATATTTTTTGTATAATGAAGAGAGATAGAAAAGGGAAAAAAGACATAAGATGAATGATGTGACAAATAAATTATAAAAAATGTTGTGAAAAGCATAATATTTTTCATTTTAAATATGACATTTCCCATGTTAAATGTGACTTAATTACCTTGGACTTCTATCTCCTTGCAAGTTGTCAGCTCTTAGAAGTCCACTCTTGCCGCTGTCAGGTGGCTGGCAACACTGAAACAAACAAAAAGTACCATCCTAGCTAATCAGAAAAACAGATTTGAAAGAAAATGAAACAACACTTACAAATAAATAAGTGATAAAAACAATGAAAAATAAAGATTACGTGATATTGCACCGCCAAAGAATCAAATCTAATAGTTTTAGGAGTAGTGAGTTTGGTTGTGTAAACTGTTGTCCAAATAACACTATCCGACATAAATTAACCTGAATTCACCTCTGAGAACTTGACTTTGAGACTCCGGGTCCAATCACCAAGTGTTCTAATATGAACGCTAAGGTAATCATCACCAGGGGCAGAGGTTATAGAAAATGGATGCCTGCGAAAGCATAAACAAATGTTTAACTATGAAAAACTTAGATATTGGAAAATAAGAGCATAAAATTAGTGAGGGTATTTAGATACAAATAATACATAGAAGATAGGAGTTGCTCAAGTTTCTTCAAATTCATACCATTCAAATGGAGACACTGCAGCACAGTTGAGAAACATGTATTGTCCACTCTTGTATCTAAATCCCTGAGGCTTTGACATATGAAGAGACAGTACATTTCCAGGATAAACAGCCACCTTTAAATTGGAGAGTGAAAATGTTGAGACATAATTTTTAGAATCTTTTTATGTACCAAACTTTATAGATTAGCCAAAAAATATTTTAACCATCAACCATATATTTCTTCATATAATGAGTGAATTATCATTTATGCTCTCACCTTTAATATTCTCACAGGCTTTATGCTTGATCTGAGTGCTCTAGTCAATCTTTCTGATAAGTATATGACAATGGGAATAGCCAAATACATCCAAGTCTACAAAACACAGAACATGTTCCCCCAATGTTAATTGGAATTTAATTAAGACACTAGAATGTAAGGAATTTTTAAACTGTTATATATACTAAGTGCTAACCGTTTTCTTGTACCATTCTTTGGTCAAGTAAAGTTTGATTCCGTGCACAATGAGCAGGGCATAGACAATGACAAAGAGATGATGTGAGTACCAAAATGCGTTGAAACCAGTGAGATTATTGAGAGGCTTGGGAAGCTTGACCCTGCCTCTTCTGAACCAAGGGGTAGCTAGAGTGAAGGCTATTGCCATTAGAACAACCATTATAATCCCTGATACTCCTTCCCATGATTTGACAAAAAACCAATAAGTTGATGGTTGATCTCCAAAAAATGGTTCCATGAGCTTGTACTTTTCACTACTTGCATCCAGTAGGCGAGGAAAGTCACAAGCAAGATGATAGATACCATGTATACCAACACCAATTGTTATTGCCACAGCTATCAACTGCAAACAAATAAACTCTCATCATGTGCTCACTGTTACAAATTTCTTTACCTTTTGACTTATGAAAGCTTCTAAGTCTCAACAAACATTTGGACATAGTTGATACGTTTTCTTTTACTCACTCTCAATTCTCAAATGAACTACCAGAAGTAAACCTTACCTTGTGGAAGTTGAGGTTGTCATCAAAAGGAACCATAATGCCAAGTTTGGTCTTATTTCTGAGCCAAGTGATGGTGTTTCGACAAACCGGTAACAAGATAATAGCCATGTTCAATTTAAGTGTCTCGGCTGCACCTTTGGCCATGCATACACAATGGCCCATCACTTCATATGCAGCTTTTCTCCTATACTGCACAAATTTGTACGCAAATAGACCCAACATCACAGAAATCCACAAAACCAATACCCAAGTTCTCTGCCAATTGTCCTGCAGGAAGTACATGGTCTGTGTATACCACCTCCTAATAGGATTTGCTTCATATGTAGGCCTAAGCTTTAAGCTTAGCATTTGACTCAGGTATTTGCTATCTCCTCTTGTAGAATGGGTCGGTCCATGCAACAAGAGCATCTCTAGGTCGTTTAACTGTTTTACCAGTAACAATCATCATATGACAAAATAAATGTGGCCTGATGAGAATATATAACAGCGAATAAGTTCTATTTTGAGATTATGAAATAGTCTTGTGTAATTACCATGATGAATTTTGTGTCATCAGGGTCAAGTTCCTCCACAATCAAAGCAGCATATTCCTCTGCCTGCTTCTGTATGTTTGCGAGTTTGTTGGTAGTGGCACTAAGGCAGATAATCTGAAAACAGAATAGGTCACACTATCAAGGAAAATCTTATTCCAATGGGAAAAAAATGCGAACAAGAAAAAGTTTCCCATAAAACTACTTTAGCAATTTTGTCAGTTGATGGGACTAAAAAGTGACAATACTTCCATTCCTTAGTGGTGAATTTATGATTCCATACCTCTTTAATTTCTTCCTCAGTGATTCTTCCATCCGCATCTTTATCAACCCTGCATTACAAATAAAGCTTGGTAACACATTTCGGTAAAGAATAAGACTACTAACATTTTTTATGAATTTCATTTTACAAATTCAGTTTCCAGAAGTAATCTTCTCTTTTCTTTCATTTCAAACTGAGTTTTAAAGGGAAAATTAAAAGCAAAGCAACAATTAGTTTACAATCAGACCCAATTGAAAACAAAACAACAGGCTTTTACAATTCTACTTTTTTATGGAAACTATATGCCAAACATCGCCTTACATGTCAAAGAATGTCCTGAGCCTAGAATCGAAACTCTGGTCAGAAATCTGGTCCCAAAAGTCCTTCAACTGGACCTTATTAATTGAATCCCCCTGAATACCCCTCCTCCTAGAGAGTGCATCAAAGAGCTCCCCAGCAAAGGCCTCTGATTCCTTGTTCATCCCTACAATTAAAACCAAACATATCTGACAAACTACTCTATACACCAACGACATTCGAAGCAAGAAGATGAAAAACACGAGAAATCATTGCACGATCCATAATCATCGCATGTCCCTGATAACTGCTATTCCCCATGTGACATGTAATTGATTTTCTCAATTACGAGAAAGAGTCAACAAAACTCAATTATGTTTCAATGGAATTGTCAGTGACCATAAAAGTTCTGACCCATCTAATAATTTCTCGAAAAAACAAAGTCTGGTGTTCTGAAACTCAGATATATACCTATACACTTGGCAAAGAGGGAGCGATGCAGGTACCCATTAGTGGAAGCAGCGAGGGCATCAAATTGCTTTTCAACCTCAACCCACTCTGCACCACCATCAGTCTTGCTGATAAACTTGAGCCCCTTGAGAGCATGAGAAGCTGCAGATTTGGTCCTGTCATAGTGCACTCTCGCAGGTGCAGCGGGCTTGGACAAGGAAGCCAAACGCTTCAGCTCCTGAGACACTTGTTGTATGCGAATAGAAGCACTTCTTACAACAGAAGCACCGAAGGACCTTTTCTTCTCCATGCCTTTACCAAGCAAAACCAGTTTCTCATCTTCCCCCTGGTCGCTGTTCCCTGCAACAGGTTTAACACTGTGAAGAGCCACAGAGTCTCCTTGGATATCCATAGTGACCTCAACGTAGTCTCCTTCATCTTGTTCCTGGGATATGCTGTGACCAACCTCAGAGCCTGAAGTGGAGACCGAAGCGTTGCTCAACTTGGAACTTCTTCTGCCTACCCTTTTGCTCAATGGTCCACTATAAGGTACCCTTTCAGCACCAATGAGTTCTATGTCAGAGTCAGGGTGATGTGAATCTGCAGAAGCTCCTCCAACCTCGTCTGTTCCCATTTTCTTCTACCTGTGTCTGAGGTTCCCAGATGCAGATTCTTATGCAAGTTGGTACTCGTGACTGAGATTCCGAAGATCCTTCTCTGTCTTCACGGTTCACACCCATTCCATGATAAGGTTTTTCCAAAGTTTTGCATCTTCTAGATAAAGATGAAGATTTTAATATTATGTAGTTATAATGAAATTAAAGAAAAAGAATGTTCTTTTATTATTTATTTAACAAACATTTTAATCAACCACCTCTTTTATTTATTTATTTAAATATAACTATAACATGAGCAACTATGAAGAAAAATTCAAGAAGAGAATCTTGAGTTTATTTGGTGAGAAAAGAAAGTTGTTAAGTAGCATAATATTTATGCTGGGAAATTATCATGCTTAAACATGAAGTGAAAAGTGAGATGAGATTTTGGTCAATTGTTGTGTTGGAAATGAGGTAAGATGGAAGACAATGAGGGAAAATTCCAAAAGTACTAAGAATGACATGTTCCCAGGCAATTAAGGATGAAACAAGTTGTGCCTCCCACATAATAAATAAAATCACACCATAATGCATCACCACTCTCAATGAAAGGCTTTGCTGAATTTAATACGACGAAACTATAAACAATTTGGGATACTTTGTCTTTACTATATTAACTTTATTTACTTACTTTCTTCAAATATAAAATTTATAAAAAGTAAAAAGACAAAAGTTATGATGGATCTTTATCAAGGTCAAAATAACGTATACTAAATAAATATAAAAAAAAGTTAAAAAATAAAAAAAAATTGTTTGGATGATCACTTCCAATAAAAACATATGTTGCTATTTACAAAAAAATAGGTAGTTCACATGATTATTTAGTTTTAATTATTCAATACATTTTTATTTTTCTTCTATTGTCTAATTCTACACACCATTGAATTAGACAATGGTTAATATACTGAATTTAATTAGATACTTTTGAATATGATTCATGAAAAAAATAATCATAATTAAAATTTTCAAAAATCTACAATTATAGAAAAATACATAATAAACACTGAATATTAGAGTTGACAGATTCATGAACCAAGTTGATGTGGTACAGATATTTTATAGTCAAGTGTGGTATCTGTTCTTATTTAATTTAATTCTAATAATGTGTATATTTTGAGCATGTTTATTTAATATTACTGTCGGAATTTCAACTGTGCTTATTTTTTAAATGATACACGAGCATATTTATAAGTATGCTGTGTATTAATATATTTTCCAATTATAGTAAACATAAAAAAGAAGAAGGAAATATTTAAATTATAAGGAAAATATAAACGCATGATTAATGAATAATAGATATGATTTCGCATAACGCTGCATGTAAAATTTATCTGGGATCGGTTTGTTTTTAATTCATGAAATTAATATTAATAGAAAATTGTTTAATTTTGATAATATTTTAGAAATTATAAATTATTTATGCTTTTTACATTATATGAGAATTATTATTTTGTGTGGGGGGTTACAACTGAATCTGGTTTAATGTCATGTTTTGCACTTTATTAGTTGACCCAAGACAAACAATAAAACAAGAGTTAAGACAAGAGTCTTGATTGTTGATATTTTAATGTGAATACAAAAGAGTGGTGGGGTTATCTACCACATTTCTAACCACCCAATAATCCTGATGCATATAGAAAAAATGAAAAAGAAATAAAGGATTTCAAATGATGATATAATTATACCCCAATATTTTTCAATTAAACTTTTAAAAAAATTATATTAGTGAAGATGCATATATAATTTATTTTAGATTAAATAGCAAGAATAAACTTATATATCATTTCTAGTAAACTACACGTATTCATATTTTATAAAAATAATTTTAACGATATATGTAAGAAAAATTAATATGAATTATTTTTTTAAAAGAAAGATAAAATAGATTTAATTATTTTTTTAATTTTAAAAGACTCATTTTTTTCTTTAAAATAGTTTTAAAGTACCTTATTATGTTACATAAAATTTCTCTAATGAATTTGTTTCAAACGATTAGTATTTCATTGAAACATTTTAATAAGTAACTTTCATTGATATATTCTAAGATATTTTATCTATTTGTATTGATGAAGTATATACCCTTAAAAATATTCAAAATAATCTTATGAGTTGTTTCTTATTTAAAAAAAATATAAAGCATAAATTAATTGCATCACATTATAATTTATTAACTCATATAGTTTATTTTACTTCAAAAAAAATTCTCAAGAAACTTTAAAGAATTGAGTTTCTCTTTATTTCCTCCTTTTTATTTATTTTTAGAAGTTTCTTAATAAATAACTAACAAAAATAAAATTAAACAATTTATCATGCTACTTCAATTTTTTTTAATGAAAAATTATCTTAATCAACTAGATGTTTTTAAACATTTGAATAAGTAATTTCTATTAGAGATAGTGTGATATATCTTATCTATTTGTATAGATAAAGTACAACCCTACAAAAAGATCAGTAATAATCTTATTTGTTTCATTGGCTAGAATATTGATATTTTTTAATATGTTACACATTAATTTATAATGTCTTACATATTAGTTATTCAATTTATACATCTTTCAATGATTTTATTATCAATTAATTTTATTTTAAATTGAAGTCTTGTATAATATTAAAGTTTTTTAGTTTTGTCTATTTTAATAAAATTTGTAAGAATATTTTTAAATAAAAATAAATAAAAAATTATCAAATTGTTGAGATTAGGAAATGTTTATTTATTTTGGAAAATATTGTTCTATCTATTTATGGTTAAGTCAAATAGATAATTAATTGAGATGTTTGACACTCTTCTAAAATATTATATCCACTTTAATAAAATAAGGATAATTATTTTATGAATATAGGTATAACTACCTCAATATTACCATATTGGTATCTTTTTTATTCATCACTAAGTAATTTTCTCAATTATACCCTCGTGGCCATTCAAGAAAAAGTTCATCAAGATCGATGGCGATACCAAGAGGAATTGAAAACCTTGTGCAAGCAACTTAGAGAAATCATTTGAGGTATAAGCGATCAATAGAAACAAACTAAGAATAGATAGATATTCATTACAATGACAAAATCTCATTCGCATTCTGGGAACCAATGAATACATCCTGAAAAGAGCGCAAGGACTTCCAACATTTGTCCAAAAGTAGAAAAGATATTTAAGTCTAGAGTTTCCACCTGGGTAGACACGCAGGTACACACATCAACATACACATACCAATAGGTATATGTATGAACACCCTTTCATAACTGGAATATTGGAGGATCCCCTTCTTCAACACTAGAGAATGCCCCCTATTGACTCTTACAATGGGACATTAGACCCTAAAGAATGCATCATGCTCCAGTGGTACTATGATTTATCCAAGAAATCGATAACCTCTTTCAATGATTTGGCGAATAAACTTAAAGCTCAGTTTGCAACAAGCTTACCAAGTATAGTCGATTCAATGACTTTCAAGAATATCAAACAAGGGAAGAAGGAATCATTGTGCAAATTCTTAGAAAGAATTTTCATTGTCAACCGCAAAATACTGAATCTAGAACTTGTTGTAGTCATGTACACCATGATAACCCATTTGCACATGAAACCATTCTTAGAGAATTTATACCTACATTGACCAAAATACATGGATGAACTAAGGACCTAGGCATCAACCTATATTCAACTAGAAGAAAATACCAAGCTTAGAAAGAGAAGAGAAGAAAACCTCTACTAGGTAGTGGAAAAATCTCAGGCAACACAAGCACCCAAGGTGGATCAGATATGATATCCTACAAGAAGCATGCAATTTGGAATTGACGACACTACCCTAACCTAACAACCCTACATTGCACACAATGCAAATAGGACTAAAAGGTGCATGTATCACTAAAATTATAGTCATAACAAAATATTTATTACTCAAACTTGCGGGACATCATAAAGGAATCAATTTAGTCCGTGAATTTGATCTTCGAAAGAATACCCTTTTACAGTAGTAGGGTAAATCCTGATTATCAACACCTCATGTGGACCCCAAATCTTGCTCGACCTTGCAATAAGTTCAGAAATTCTTCGTTTCAAAGATGGTCAAGGCTTCATTAGGCCCCCTAGTAGCATTTTCTAGGTTCCATTTAGGATAAGGGGGGGTTTTCTAAGAAAATAAAAATTGGAAATTTTGTCAGAAGGCCTCGGACGATCATCCATGTTGACTAGACGACCTCCCATGCTTATTATTAAGCCCTGGACGACCGTCCATGAAGACCAGACAGTCGTCCATGATGACTAGACGGCCGTCCAGACTTGCTGGAACATTTCCCTATAAATAAGGCCTCATTTTCTCATTTTTCACACACTCACAGACTCTCTTCTCACCCTAGAAGGCACTCTAAGACTTCTAGACAACTCTGAGCATTATTTTAGAGTCCGAGTGATCTTTCAGACACTCAAGAGTTGAGTTCTCTTTTTTTTTGGTCGAGAAAAGAGCATCTTTGTAGAGGGAGGATACTGCCAAAAAGCGTCCTCAAGTTTGAAGAATTTATAAAAAGCTCCCTTCGGAGGTTCTTTTCTCTATTCTCTCTTTTATTGCTTTCCTTTGTGCACATTAGATATTAGAGCCATGTAGATAGTTATTTAAATACTGCAATGAATAAATAGGGTAGAAGCATAATTTTTATGTCTTTATTTTAAGATTATTCCATCATAGGGAACCCGAAAGGGGCGTTGTGGAGTGTAACATCTTCCCCACATGTAACTAACTCCCTTACCCAATTCTGGTTGTAATGACCAAAGTTGGTTTCCTTAAAACCAACGCCTTTTTTACTTTCCTTTTCTAATGTTTATGGTAAAAACATTGGTGGCGACTCTAGAACCCTTTATGAAAACTTCGCTCTTAAGGGTAGTTCGGTTATCGAACACCTTAAGAGCGATGACCACGCTTTTAAAAAATGCGAGTCAATTAACCATCGCGTCGCAATCGACCGCCTTCATAGTTTCCCTCCCTTAGCGATTGGGGACGACACCTCCCTATCAGAAGTCATCTATGACCCTCCTAATGAAGAAGTTGACTCTTGTCCTACTAGGACAAATGCTTCTTGAAAACCAAATGGTGGACCCTAGTTCACTATTGATGACATCCCTCCAAGCCAATGGAAAACGAGGCTGATTGAATTTGGAGCTTGGCTAGACACCAAGCTAGTCAAAGACTCTAACTCTTGTAAGGTCTATAAGGTCATCGAAGATTTTTGTTGCAGAATGACTAGAACTCTCAGAGTGGTATCATAACCTCGGAGTTGTCCGACAGAACCAGTTCCATGAACTAGGACAAACTTCAGTAGTACTTGGAGCCTTGAATGAAGAATTCATAGGGGATGACTCAATCGACAAGAAGCTCAGGCTTCTTTGAAATGAGATGTTGCTCAGTCAAGATCAAAGACTTGGAGAAACACTCCTAGCGAATGAGCAAGAGATTCTACCACCACAATAGACTCAATGACCCTAGCCTAAAGAACACCTATGTCGCATCCCTTCCTGTTGAGCTATAACCAGAACTGAATAGGATGACAATTGTTATCCAAAAGGACTTCACCACCTTGACTATGGGTCGAATTCACCAGATGACCCTAGAAGCAGTTGACAAGCTTTGCAGACAGCACGAGTTCTTTTTTGACATCATGACTCAGAAAAGTAAGTTTAACAAAGCCTGCCAAAAGTCATATCTTGAGATCAAATGCAAGAAGCCTTGTTCAGACAACTGCAAGAAGAAAAGGCGGGAAAAATCACTTGTCCGCAAGAAGAAGAAGAATTTTAAATTCTTCAAAAAGAAGAAGTTCAGAGGAAAAACACAAGACCAACGATGTTTTATCTGCAAAAAGAAAGAAAATTTCTCCAAGAATTGTCCCTATAAAGATGAAAGAGCCATAAAACTTATCTCCACCCTAAAGCTTGATGACAATGACGATATAGAGTCTCTCTATATAGAACAGAGCTCTGCAGATGAAGAGATCATCTTTGCCTTCACCATCCCGCTGAGGAGATAGAATCAGAATATTCCAATGAATTAGAAACTGCTATTCCAGTATTTTCTTTCCAAGAGACCGACCCTATCAACATCTCTCCTCCACAACCATGCTTGGAAGTCCAACTTCATCCTTCGAAGTATGAGAAAACCATTAAAGTTATAGTTTACACAGGAGCCCAAAAGTCTATGATGGATCCTAACATAATTCCCAAAGAATTCAAGAAGAAGGAAGCCTCTTACTTTGTTGCAATTGATGGAAATATCTTCAAGACTGAGTTAATTACCAGAGCTCTAATTGAAATCAAGTTCTTCCCAGACTATACAGTCTGGTCCAAAGTAATTAAGAGCAAGCTTCGCAATAAGGATATGCTGGTAGGTATGGATACTTTTTCCATGACTAACAAGCTTCAGATCCATTCTACAAGAATCAAGTTCAAGAGGGAATTCAGATCTTTCATATATATACCCAAACTTTTCTCCCTCTCTGAAGCTCCTCAAGAAAGAAATAAAGAACAAGCTAGCCACCCTGTGCGCTAACAACCATGAAGACTTTTCTCATCCAAAACCTCTTTGGAAGAATCTTGAGTTCTTTGTACAGTTACCCTTCAAACTCAACTAAGACATAAATTCGACGAAGGCCCCACATCCACGAATGTCTCCATCAGACTTATAGTTAGCAAGACAAGAATACCAGGAACTGTTGAAACAAGGTTTGATTGAACCAATCCAATCTAATTGGGTCTGTCAAGTCTTTTATGTAGAAAAGAAGTCCGTAAAAATCAAAGGAAAAAAGAGGTTAGTCATTGATTACAAGCCTCTTAATCATTTTCTTAAGGATGATAAATTCCCAATACCCAAAGTCTCATCGTTATTCACTCTAATAAAAGAAGCCCATATCTTTTCTGAGTTTGACGTCAAATATGGATTCTGGCAATTAGGCATTGACCCACCTGACCGATACAAGACTACTTTCTGTATACCCAATGCCCAATATCAGTGGAAAGTAATGCCCTTTGGGCTTAAGACAACCCCATTACTGTTCCAAAAAGCCATAACAAAACTCTTTGAGCCCATACTAGACAGAGTGATCATTTACATTGATGACATCTTACTGTTCTCACAAGACATGGACTCTCTCATAAACAATTATTGGATCAATTTTTTGGAATATTCAACCGACGATAGTCCACACATAGCCGGGAACTCCCGTCCTTCTTCTTCACCAACAGTACCGGTGCTCCCTAAGGTGACACACTGGGCCTAATCAACCGTTTATGCATCAAATCTTCAACCTGTCCCTTCAACTCCACCAACTCCTTTGGTACCATTCTATACAGAGCTATAGACATAGGCTCCACCCCTAGGACCAAGTCTATACAAAACTCTACCTCCTTAGGCGGAGGTAATCTAGGAATATCCTCCAAAAACACTTCCAGGAACTCTCGCACTATAGGTAGTGAATGGAGGTCCTGCTCTCCCTCTGCACTTGACATAACCAAGAGTAGAAAACAGGAAGCTCCTTCACACAAAGAAGCCTCTACTTGTTGAGCTGTTATCAACTCTACACTTCCTTGATGCTCCAGAAAGACCAAGCACTTCCGAGCACAATCAAGGAGTACATGATTGGCAGCCAACCAATCCATGCCCAAAATCACATCCAACCCTGCCATCGGAATGCAAATAAGGTTCACCTTATACTGCCTCACCTCAATCTCCAACGGACACTCCAAACACACAGTTGAGGTCACGATTGAGTTCGAAGCTGGGGTTGACACCATAAGTTCACACTGTAATTCACTTACTGACAAACCCAACTCTTTCACACAAGCATCCGAATTAAAAGAATGCATAGCTCTAGAATCATACAACACAGAAAGGAGCATACCTGCCGCTATGCCCATCCCCTGAATCAAATCTATCGCCTGGGCCGCCTCTATCCTCGTGCCTCAGCCCTGGGCCTCCTTGCCTAGGGAATTCTAACAGCTCTAGACCTCATGGCATGCAATGCACTACCTGTGGAAGATGCTGCTCCACTCTGAGTAGTGGGGCACTCCCTAGCAAAATGTCCCCGCTGCCTGCACGTATAACATATCTTCTGGCCCACCTGGCCAGGCTGTGGGCACTGACTCATGAAATGTGGTCCCCCACACCAGTAGCACCTCACAACAGATGGTGTTGGGGCCACCCACGATGGTCCACCTGCACCTCGTGGCATAAGAGGAGAAGTAGTAATCCCCACAGGCCTAGGGATAGATGAGGTTGCCCCTCCAAAATGAGTAGGCCGAAACTGTTGCCTCCTGCCCTAACTGTGGTAGGGGCCTTTCCTTGCACTCCCACTCTTCCCTTGGCTTCCGTTGCTTCTGCTGGACTGGGCCTTTCCCACCCCTCCAGCTCCCCCTTGCATCAACCCCTCAATGATGATGGCCTGATCCACCAACTTAGCAAACGTTGTGATCTCCAACGAAATCAAGATCACTTTAATGTCGACCCTCAAACCATTTGAGAACCTCTGAAATTTCCACTCTTCTAATGTAGCTTGGGAGTAAAATCTATACAGTCTCTCAAATTGTATCACATACTCGTACACTGAGGAGTCTCCTTGCACTAAGCTAAGAAACTCTCTCTCCTTCGCAGCTCTAACATGGGAGGGAAAGAACTTCCTAACAAAATTGTCACGAAACACTTCCCATGTCACAATCACACTACGGGCCTCCAACATAGCCCGGGCTCCCTGCCACCACATCTTAGCATCGCCCACTAGCATGTAGGCGACATACATCACTCCTTCCCTCGGCACAACCCATGGTGAGGAAGATCTTTTCTATCTCCCTTAGCCATTGCTTCGCTACCTTGGGTCCATTAATTCGTGTAAATTGTGGAGGATCACACCTCCTAAACTCAACCAACCCCTAGTACTCAGGTGGTGGCACTGTGGCGGTAGTAGTGGTTGCTTGGGCGGTAGTAGTCACCTGATTCGCAGCCTATTGCTGCATAAAATTGAGGCTCTATCTCATAATTGTCTCCATAGCCTCCATGGCATGAGCCATCTGACTCATATCTATAGCAGGAGGATCAGAAGTAGGTCTCCTGGGTGGTCTTGCCATCTAAAACGCAGAAACCACACCTTAGCACACTACTACACACAACATTCCTCACATAACATGTCACATACACTAGTCCATTCCTCATACACACAACAAGTATCAAACTCATCAATCACACAATCCTGTCACACAGGCTACAGTCACACAGGCTCAGGCCACTCCACATACCACATACAAAGCACACAACATTTACTATTTGCATATAGCATACATCTCTTACTCATATAGTACATAGCATACAAATCCATACAGAATAACATTCCTCATGTAAAGCACACAACTTACACATTCTGCCCCACACATTATACTTTATCATTAGCTCACCCTAAGATTATATGCCATAATTTCCCATCATTAATCATGCTAGAGAATCAAGGTGATCAGGCTCATCCTCTCATGACTCAACACCTAGCAATTATGGTTATAACTCACATCCAAAACCAGTATACAACATGCACAACTGAAATGCGTTAAATAGGAACCTCACCCATAGGTTTACTTAGACCATGCTCTGATACCACTAAAATGTCACAACCCCTTTTTTTTATTATAAGGAATCTGACATGCGTTAAATATGCGAAAAATAGATTTTTTTTTTTCATGAGAGACCAATTTTTTTTTCTGAATAATACAATTTCATTCATTCATTAAAACACACACACACACACACACACACACACACACACACACACACACACACACACACACACACACACATATATATATATATATATATATATAATCAAGTACAATACATCAATCCTTCAAATACAAATAGGTACAAAGTCAAGTCTTTCAAAATACAATAAAGCTCATGGTCATTCTCCTATCTATGGGGAGTGAGCTACGTGCCCAAACTTTTCCCCACCCTCAGCTCTTCCTAGTTTACCCATCCCCTTGGGTAGTCGAGGCTACACCTGTATCACCTGCTCTAGTACCAAGTACGATCACAACAGAACACATCACAAAGAAATGCAAGGGTGAACTAAAATCAACATTTATAATTCACAATTCTAATGATAGAGTATATTCAGGCAATAATATAAATATCCAATTCATTCTCTTAGGCGACATTTGGCATATAGCCTCGCCTTCAGGGAAACATCTAGCACACATCCATTTCCAGGGAAACCACCTAACACACAGTCGGGTCCCCAATTAGCATAACCATCTAACCCTCAAAATCTGGTTTGCATATCTTATGCATACAGTCTCAATTAGCAAAATCATCTGACCCCCAAAGTCTGGTTTGCATATCTTAGGCATACAGTCTTAATTACACATAGTTCATAACCATACAGCCAATCATAACTCAAGCGCACATCAATATTTCTCAATGCACTTAGCTCCACATGACACACAGTCCCACGTTGCACTTTCACATCATACAATTGTTCATTAGCATATAGCATTCTCATACACATTGTCACACTAATTCCATTTTCTCATAATTAGCACTAAGCATATCACATAACAATATTCATCACAATCATCCAATACACAACACCCACTCATTCAATTATCCTTGCACCAATCATCACAAAGAGGTTAGGACAAGCTCCCCTTACTTGGTACATCAACGTTTATTTTCTCCAAAGCTTGAGACTGATTTCCTATTTGCAAACATGAACAAGGTTCAGTGTTTTTGGTATAACTCAACCTATAGTCAATATTTTGACATGAGACCAGTTTCTAACTTTCAAGGACTCATTTATATATAACTTTGATGAAGAAAATAAATTCAAATACCCTATAGAATAAATGAAGTTTTCAGTTTACAGTGGTTATTTCCAACAGAGCTCAACTACAATAACACTCTAAACATGCCTTGGTATTTTGACTATAACTCATGTTACACATAAGATATTGACATGAAACCAATTCCTAAATTTTGGGAACACATTTTCCTACAATTTTTATGAAGTAATAAATTCCTAATTTCACATTTATCAATCCCAGTAATTAAAAAACAGAGGTTGTTGAAACAGGGTAACATCTTAACGTCATAGCTAGAACATCTGACAGTAAAATAGGCATAACTCGAGCTACAAATATCCGTTTGATGTGAAATAAGTTTCTAAATTTAGATAATATAACTTTCTACAACTTTTATGAAGAAATAAAGTCCTAAGTTTACACTTATCAATCTCATAAATTCAAAAACCGAGGCTATTGAAATAGGGAAACATTTTAACGTCATATCTAGAACACTTGTCAGTAAAATAGACATAACTTAAGTTTCGAATATCAGTTTGATGTGAAACTAGTTTCCAAATTTTGGGAACATAATTTCCTACAAACATCATCTTACTTGTTCGCGAATGAGTGAAGTGTGTGTACATCTGTTTGTTGCTTTTGATTGCATAGCATAACCAAACAACAGATAAAAATAGAAAAAACCACAAAATATTTTCGCAATAAACACCCTTATCTCAGACAGTCTGCCTTTTAGCTAGCCTGGTTTCAGGTTCTTTGTAAGCTAAGTAGTCACGCAGTCCGAGAGAAGAGATAAGAGACGCTAAAATTATTCTTTCGCAATAAACGCCCTTATCTCGGATAGTCTGCCTTTTAGCTAGCCTAGTTTCAGGTTCTTTGTAAGCTAAGTAGCCATGCAGTCCGACAGAAGAGATAAAAGGCTATAAAAAACGAATAAAATCAGACCCAATAAAATAAAAATGGGATCTTGTTCACAAAACATCAAATTCATAAAACATCTATATAGGTAGTTTATTTTCTTTTTGAAAAAATACGAACACCAAACACTATCATGCATCATGTAGAAATAAAACATGATAATATGTAAGAAAAAATAAACACTTGCATGCATGTCCGCATTAAGCATCATATTCATAGCATACATTTTTGGCTTTTAGAAAAATGGAGGGGACTAGTAGACAATTGAAGAAAGTGGATGTTCCCCGATACCATGCCGAGAAGTTAGAATGACTCTGCGCACTAAGGCCACCAGAAGTCCGCTCCGATTTCAAAAAATCCTATGGACAGATTCTCAACCTACTGAAAATCTGTGTCGATCCTACTTTTATCAGGATTCTAGTTCATTTTTGGAATTCCAGTCTGCACTGCTTCGAATTCCCACAGTTTGATATGGTGCCCACTTTGGAGGAGTATGAGATTATGTTAAAATGGCCCAAATCAGCCGGGGTCCATATTCACCATGGGGCATATACTCCTGCAACATCGGTCGTTGCCATCATCCGATTGCCATCTCAGCAGGCTACCCTGATAGAAAAAGGGAATGTCCAGGGTTGGAAAGTCTCAATGTTAGAAGACCATCTATCCTCTTTGGCTGAAAGGGTAGAATGGACTACTTTTAACAAAACCCTGGCTTTAATCGTATTTGAGACGATATTGTTTCCCTTCCACCTCGACACAGTGGATCAAGCCGTCATGGACGTCTTTTTCGCCTGGGACGTGAACTCGAAAAGTCCCTTGCCTACACTTCTTGCCGACACCTTGCTTTCGGTAGAATTTTGCCACCAGAAACAAGGAAGAACATTCAGATGTTGCTCTTCACTGCTATTTATGTGGGGTATCACACATTTTTACGCCTCTAATCACATGGGGATGTTCCCTATGGATTAACAGAGGCCTTACTGAGCTACGCTGCAAAGAGAGAGATGAATTAGCTCAGTATGGTCAGGTACTACGAGAAAGAGACCGAGCCCTTGCGAAACTCGATGAGTTACAAGCCTTGGTCATCAATCAGGAGGTGAAGATCAAAGAGGCTCAAAAGTACAGCAAAGATATGAGCCAAATGGTCCAAAAACAGACCGAAGCACTCGCTCGTCATGTTCGGGAAGCTGAAAGAGAATTACATAGAGATCAGGACCCGCCTGTGGGTTTCTTTAGGCTTTTAAGTTTCTGTCAAAAAGTGCTTCGTAGAATGGAGTAGGGAAATGTACACTTTCTACAAATAAATAAAATTTTCTTTATTCAACAATTTTTTTACTTGCATGCATTACATCCATTTGCATATTTGAATTCCCCTCCTTCACTTTTTAATAAATAAGATAATAAAAAGGAAGGATTAACTGACACGTCTTCCAATCAGAAGGATGGAGAGAAAACCGCTTGTAATCAAGCTCTCCCCGACGATTGATTCACCACAAGAGGATAATAAACCTCGACAGTTGGTTATCAGGGTCAATAAAGAAGAGGGGGCAAGGACTCTTGTGCGATTATTTGTGCCTTGTCCTTTCCCCTACGAATAAAATAAAGTTGTACCATGGAGATATGAAGAATCTTCATCAATAAAGGAAGACATCTCCAACATAGTCGGCATCGGGGGCATGACCAGAAGTGGAAGGATATACTCCCCCAAGGAGTTACAAGAGGATGTCCCCAAAAATAAAGGAAAGAATAAACAGACCGAAGAAAAAGAAAATAAAGAATCCAAGGAGGAGACCGATGAATTACTCCAGTTCATAAGGCAAAGCGAGTATTCCATTATCGACCAACTCAATCATACACCTGCAAAGATAACTCTGTTATCTCTAATGATGAGTTCAAAACTGCATAGAAATGCCCTGATGAAGGTTTTGAGCGAAACGCATGTACCTCATAATATATCCTAGGAAAAAGTTGAGAGGATCGTCGGTCACATCACGGCTGGTGACCACCTCACCTTCTAGATGAAGAACTCCCCCTAGAGGGGTCGAGCCACAACAAGCCCTTGCATATTTCTATCAAATGCAAGGAGCACCTCATCGCTAAAGTTCTTGTGGATAACGGGTCATCCTTGAACGTAATGCCCAAGTGCACACTTGATAAGTTAACCATTCAAGGAACCCGCTTGCGCCCAAGTAGCACCATTGTTCGAGCCTTCGACGGATCCAAACGAGAAGTAGTGGGGGAAATCAATCTGCTAATCCAAGTCGGACCCACTATCTTCAACATTGGTTTTCATGTAATGGACATTACTCCTGCGTATAGTTGTCTCCTTGGCAGACCTTGGATTCATGACGCTAAGACAGTACCTTCAACGCTCCACCAGAAAGTCAAGTTTATAGTAGATGACAAACTGGTCACGGTCCAAGCAGAAGATGATATCCTGATCAGTGTACCGTCTACCCAACCTTATGTGGATGCGACTGAAGAGGCCCTTGAAACATCTTTTCAAGCGCTTGAAATTGCCAATGTGGAGAGACTTCCCAATAACACAAAGGTAGCCCGCATGATGATGAAGCATGGTTACCATTCTGGCTAAGGATTGGGGGTAGACTCCCAAGGAATGAGGGAACCCCCAGAATTCAAAGATAACCCTCTAAAGTACGACCTAGGATATGACCCTACAAA